CCACAAGATAGTCTTTTATTGGCTATTAGATGGTTAAGAAAGTTTTTCAAAGTGCATTTGTTGATTTTTGGCTATCGATTTGATTTTGTCATTGATACATCCTTAACCGAATATAACTTACAATATGATTTACATATTGCGTATATAATCCTATGAGAATAAATACTGAGCATTTTATGTACCATCTCTAAAGAATCAAAAAAGTTGTTATAGGTATTTTTATCGAGATGAATTAGAAGATATCAAAGGAATTTGATTAGAGAAATGATGGCTGTATTGGGTAACCTATATCTCTCCTAAAACTTTAAAACCCATAAAATAATCCATTTAAAAGCTCTAAAAGCTTAATTATTTTTTGGTTCATCTGGGCCATTATTATTAGGTTCATTTTTAGATGCATCGAAATTAATAAACTGGTTAGTTAGATTATCGTTTTCACTATATTTGCTTGACTTATCATCATAAATATCTTTCCAGTTTTCTTCCTTATTATTATCTGAAAATAATTGGTCAATTAATTTGATAGAAATACGCTTGCTGTCTGCTTTTTGTGTTGCTTTGCCTTTTGTATTCTTTGCCAGCAAAAAATTGAATAAAATTTCTTAAGAGGCAGTTTCATCACCTGACATGTCTAATTGCATAATATCATCAGAGAGATCTATCAAAATATTTCTTTGACTTAAAATTCCAACCCATTCAGCATTATTTCTTTGTAGAATTCTTTTTTTAGTCATGTATAACTTTTTAGTTTGTAGATTCCTTAAAGTGTCCTTACAATAATTGCATTTACAACTCTTGAAATACCTATTTCTGGTCTTAATCATATTCGACTTATTATTATTAACATCAAAGTTATCAGTTGAGATTTTTTAAATAGCAGTTCTTCTGGATCTTTTGTATATCATATTTCTTAAAATCTTAAGTTATGAAAATGTAAATAATACTTAAATATTTTCATAGATCTTTATTTATACAAAATGTTTATTTATAAAATACGATTATTCCCCGATTGTTTTGATATATTAAAGAAATTATCAATTATTCAAACATATGTTACATTACAAATAAAGGCTATCAATAAATAATTATTACATGTGATATATATTGGTTTTCTTTTATTATTTTATCACTACTATATATTAGAAAAAAGAAAGAAGATTCTGGGGATTAAATCATATAATTAATATGAAAGATCCATTTCTCAAACAAATACAACTACTATCACTTAATTGCAAAAACTTCGTGGATGATTTAAAAGAAATTGTGAATGATGAGAAATATCATTCGAACGAAGTTTCTGAAACTGACCAGTATTTGGCACATGATGAAATTTTAAAAAATACGACCATTGAATAAAATATTAAACATGATAATCATGTTATATATGTATATGATAAACCATGAAGATCATGACAGGTAGTTTGAACTATTGACATGGCTTGCTTTTAATATAACATATATATTTTATTTTATGTATTTTATCTTATTATTTAATAGATTTGGAAAATTTTACATTATATAGATGAAGTCGCAAAAAAGATTTCTCATATCAAAATGATAAGAAATGATAACTTAATGCTAAAAAATAGTTTGATAACTCTAAACCTCTGATTAATGTGCCAGAGTAGACTATTTCCACCAATTACTATTCTGATGATGAAGAACTTCCTGGTTATAATGGTAAGATAATATATCAAGGATGTTAATTGATCTATAAAAGACTAAGTTTACCTAATATAAATTGAATATTAATTTTAATTCAAGAGTTATAAAAAATACTTTCGAATAAAATTTTCTTAAAATTTTTAATCCTAATAATTTACCTTTTTTTTATTTGTATTATATGTGATTAATTTTGTTTTTAGATACGTATCTGGTCAGAATCAAACTACCCTAGTATCGCTATCAAAAATTCACTTTCATGTGAGAACCTACAGTGGCTTTCCAATAGCGAGCCTTGCTTGATATAACGTTATACAATTAGAAAGATCAAAACAAAATGTTTGCTTTGTCAAGAATCGTCTATTTCTCAAAAATTTGCATAAGAAATGATCTAGCAAAAATTTTTCTTAAGCAATTTTACTACATGTCTTGCTGCACTAACTTTAACTTGAAGATTTTTTTGTGTACCAAAATACTGTTACGTGAAAGTGAAATTTTGATAGTGATACTGGGAAATATGTCAGAATTGGTAAAAGTCACATGATGCAACACTTCGTTTTTGGTATTCTAACTTAACAATGTCCTAAAATTATCTGATTTTTAATTAATACAGTAAAGAACTAAACTGGAATAGATCTTTTAATATCTTTATAAGCTAATTTAATAATAATTATACTAATACTGATTTTATTATTATTATTTAGATCATAATGATGATGATAATTATTGATCAAATACTTTGATTGGTAATCAAACAATCTCTATTGCAGACAATCAATCAACTTCTACTCATGAGAAAAATAAAAAATTAAATACCGGTACTTCTATTATTAATCGAAATAATAGTTCTGAAGGTAAATAATTATAATTATAAATTATATATTATAAGTTACATATATATTTATAACACTTAATAATGTTAGTATTAATTAAATAAGATAATCAACCAAGCACTTCTGCTATATAGTAATCGATTTAAAAGTCTTGCTGTTGATAATTACTATTTAAGTGATGCTAGTAGTGAAAATAATAGTAATTAAATAGATATATAAATTAGCTAATAGTATATATTTAAATAGAAAAGGTGCTTTGCAATTTGTATATATATATGTATACAATGTATATTAGATTAATTTCTAAATTTTTTTTTTGTTTCAACAATTCTTCCTTTATTATTTAAACTGGCCATAGCCATACCTCTGTAGAGGCTAATCTATCTAGTATACTACATTATGCCAGTATTAATAAAAAATCACTCGATCTATTAACAAAAATCTAAAATAGATTCTACAAGGAAGACCCAGATACAACCCACCTAAGTAGTACTTCTTTATCTTGTCTAAAATTCTCAATTTACTGAGAATTTATTCTTCAAGAGTCTGCAGTAGGTGCTTACCAACCTTGTCAGGATCACTGCCCTATATAACATATCACCAATCTGAAAAAAAATCCCTAACAAAAAAATCAAAGATCAAATAGAGTAAAGAGAATTACAAGAAGGGGGATAGTTTAAAAGAAAACAGATAAGAAAGCAACTAAACTAATAAAAAGAATCTAAAGTACTAATTATAAACTAAAGAACCTATCTAACAAATTAGTATCTGCTAATTAGAATTCTTATCTACTTGATCGTAGTAATTACATAGAACTTAGCTGACATATAAAAAGAAAACTAAGCTAAATACACTTTAACCTATGCTAAGGACTAAAAATTATATATATGTGACTTTTGTCATTAGACTGCATATCTTAAATTCTCTTTATTGCCCCAACTTTAAATCTATATTCTATTCCAAAGTATAACAAATATATCGACTTCACGTGTTCTCCCAGTCTCATCTCGTCTAATTGGTGTGTAAGTCCTTAAAAACCTTCTGAGTTCTCAATATACCAAGGCCATATTTTCAATTAAAGAATAAATTACTTTCTATATAGCCACATGTTTGTTATATTCATATCACAGAGTCGCTAAATATTTAAGTGGTAAACAATGTTGATCTTTTGACAGGAGGTAGCCAAATCTCTTACTTTTTGTTGAAAATTGGTTTTGGGAGTGTCAAAGTGGTAAGGAAAATTTTGGTTTTGCGAGTTTCTAACTAAAGAGAGTTTTTCCAAGAGTTTATCATATCCTTCCGTTTTCAAACTTTTTGAGTTTTTTTTTCTATTTACTGTTTCCAGAGACTCCTCTGGTTTGGATGCTGAATGCAAAAGAGAGTCCAACCCAAGAAGACTAGGAACAAGGCTTGACCCTTTTGCAAACTATCCAAAATGCCTGCTTCTCGGTGTATTACGTTTAAAAACTTTGTCGACAGTTTATATTAAAAAAACTTCAAATTATCGTTAACTTCTGGTTTTGAGTCTTCAACTTGCTTTTGGTGCTAGTTGGTCCAAGTGATTATCAGGGAGAGTATCTAGTCAATTGTTTAATTAATAAATTTGATTTTTTATTTGATTTGTTATGAATAATATATTAATTAGTAATGATAAATATAGAATATAATTACATATCAAAAAACTATAGTATTCTTATAAAGTAATTCGATAAGCTGATTTTAATATATGATTGCTTTATTATTTTTTACTAATAATATATACCTGATATTTAACTTAAGTTGTCATGAATGGTGCTATTAATTAATACAAATCGAGTTTAAATATCATAGCCAAATCAGAAAAAAATTATAGTAATATCTATTATTCTGATAAGGTATTATTTAACTAGTGATAGTTTAATTATTTAATTTTGAGAATATTTTATATATGCAAAATGTTCTCAAATAAAAGAACTTTATTTTAAATATTAATGTTCTTAAAAAAATTTTATTGTTTTCACGAAAACATGAGAACATCAAATTTTAAACACTGGTTGTATTCTCGCCAACCTGATAGTACAATATACGAATAACAAAATTATTTAATATTTAAGATTGATATAACAAAACTCTCATCAGATATAGTATTATAAAACAATTCAAATTAAAGATTCAAAAGATGTCTATTTAGTAAAAAAAAATACTTTTTATTGTAATGAATTGGTATTTCAATACTATAAAAAATTTATAATAAGTTCTGACTATGATACTTAGTATAACCCTTTAACTGCGAACTATTTTTTAAACTAAAAAATCTATTTATGATATACAAAATATAAAAATAAAAATACATAAGTTATAAAAAAATAAATGCCAAATATTAAATAGTAATTTAAGTTAAATTTATCTTCCTCTAGTCTATTTATTTTTCTCTTAAAAACATAGTAATTATTTTTTGAATTTCTTTATATATGTTAACATAAGCTGTAACAATAATTTTTTCTTGTGACAAATTGGCCACTTTATATGCCGAAGGTTGAATTCTATATTTTGTTACCCCAACTAAAATACTCACAGCAAATTTCTCTTTCTTAATGCCCTCAATATCCTTATTCCCTACTCTAATAGCTGCCTCAACTTCGTTTACCTTTATTCTATCTAATTAATTTACCTATTTATCAAAAAATAATAAATAAATAATAAAATAAAAAATACATGCTATAAAACTATTAAAGTATACTTTATATTGGATAATCAATGTATACCCACATACTTCTTTTATGATATCTTTTTTACTATCCTCAGAACCACTAAATTGATTAAGAGATAAATATTATTTTATAGACATATTCATGATTCTATTTACCAGTTTAATCTACGTGTATGCATTGGCAGAAATCAA